AGACATGCGAGTGGCGCATTTAGGGTTTGTGAGGTGGTGGCGGAGTTGTTCATCACGTTTCTTTAAGTTCGCATGCACTTTCAGGGTTCAATTGTGTTGGCTGGTTTGTGTCTTTCGCTCTCTGCTTTCCTGCGAAGTGTGGATCTCAGATTGTGAAGAGAGTATGTGCTTTTGCGTGGCTATTTTTTGTCGCCAGTGGGTGTGCGGATGTCGATTACATTCTGGTTTTGTACTGTGTCGAACACATACAAAGCTCATGTGCAACAAACTTTTGCTGTCTGCTTCGCCTCATCCATGAACAATAGTAAAACTGAGAAAGCAAATAAACACACACACTTGTTATCTTTTGGGAAAAAAACACGCAGATTGAAAAACATGTACCGTCCACGCGGAATATCAATAGGACTTGAACAAGATTATGAGTTTGTGAAAGGAAGACGCAAAATGTTCACTTCTATAAAAAACTAGAACATGAACGCGGGAGATAAAATCAACGACCTGTCATCACATAAATACGCCGTTTCAGCGATGCACGATCGGCCCATTCCCCCCCGCCGATAATCACACACGCCAAACTAAACCAAAAAAAAGGCAACCAGCATTGATTGGTTCTCCAAGTGGAGAAGGATTGACTGGCGCCGTCTACAGCAGTAAACCCTGCAGTCTTCACACCCATAGACATCGAACATGACTGTCGGTCGCACACCCACAGATTCAGTTCATCATTCGCACACGTAACCCGTCACGTAAAGCCAGGGCAGCGTCGGTTGCGCCCGATTGCGACACTGGTCGTAGCGGATCTTGCAACCCCAGATCGACACGAACCAGATTGCCATTCTCGTCCGGCTCGAGGAGGACCGAGTCGTCGAACGGTATGCCCGCCTCAAGCAACAAGTTGTGGATGATACAAACAACCAGAAACTGTTGAGGCAGACTATCCATGTTAGTCTTGTGATGGCGGAGGATCAACCTCCACATCCCCTTCAAACGCCCGAAAGCCCTCTCCACGACTCCTCTCGTCGTCTTCTGCCACGTGTCAAACAATCCGATGTCCCCTGCTTGGTCTGTCCCCCCGTAGGGGACCACCATCCACATTCTCGGCGAGTAGCCGTTGTCCCCATGCAGGTACCCTGTTGTGGACACCCCCCCTGGCAGCAGAACAGGTTCCACGACGAAGAGCTCGCCCGCCTCCGCACGTCGAAAGAGTGAAGAGTTTCTCAGAACCCGCTGGTCGTGGACGCTCCTCGGGTATCCCATGAACACATCCAGAATTCTCATGTGGAGGTCGACGACAACTTGGGCGACGACCGAGAACTGCTGTTTTCGATCGAAGTAGTTCTCCGACGGTGCGTTGGCGGGCTTGTCCACGTACACGTGCGTGCAGTCGATTGCGCCGAAACAATTAGGGAAGCCCTTCGCTCCGAATGCTCGGGTCACCTGCAGCAGCCGACGGCCGGACGGCATGGCGACTTTGTCTGGATATGCAGCCAGTATTGCATTGGCGACGTCCGTCACGGCCGTCACCCCGGACGACCTGCCGATGCCGAAGCTTGACGAAGCGTTCTCAAACGTCTCCCCGGTGGCCCACCGGTATAACGCGAAGGCGACAATAAGGTCTGTCTGCAAGGGCTCGCGGTAGTGCGTTAGTCTACGGTGAATATGGCCCTCGACATTCGAAGCTTGTCATGGAAATATTCATCCATCGCGTCGTCCACAATGTCCAAGTCTCCCCACGTCCCACCCGCTCGTCTTTTCATCCACCACCGCGGTGTGTCCCTGGGCAGAACACCAGCAACAATTGCGTTGGACAACAGGAAAGGAGCATCCGATAGACCGGACGATGTACAGACGTCTGCCAACGCCTGGGCTATGGCGGCCTCCCTCCTCCCCCTCCCCCTCCCACCCGCACACGCCGCAACCCGTTCACCGTCTCCATGTACCGGCACACAGCGAGGACAGCACTGCCGACCATGCTCTTCTCACTGGTTTACAACCTCCTCGCCGCCTGTGGATCGTGCCCACTGTTGTCCATAGCTACACTACGCTGGGCACAAAACGCACACGACAGCGACACGTGAAGCCACGTGCGCACGCTCAACGATGGATGACGGGGGCGTGCACCACGGGAAACGCGACGGCAGGGAGTCCAGAAAGCGATGACCGCGAACGGAACTGGCGGGCGCGGAATTTGAACTCGAATGTTCGGGGTCCTAGCGCGCTTAAACCTCCACGGCCGAATGACGCTGCGCACCCGCGACAGGCCCACGCCCGCGTTGGGGAAATGGCAGGCCTGGGTTTCCCACGGGCCCAAGGCAGGCGGACACGAATTTGTTCGCCGCAACACTGGGTCGGACACTCGCATTCGTTTCTCGGCCGCGCAAGGCGCGAACTGGGGCACCTGAAATGTAAGTGCGATAAAGTGTAGGGTTTTCGTAAGTGGTTGTGGAACGAAAAACGGAGTAAGGGAAAACTAATCACATTTTCGGCGTAAGGGTGCCCTTACAAAGTAAGGGTTTTCTAGTGGTGTGGAACGAGGCTCTCTATTACCATTCCTGAGTCCTGACATCTAAAGAGTTATACGACCAGTACCTTTGGCGTCAGGTTTCGACAAGTCCTGGCCAGTACCCGAACTTTCAGGAGGCCGAGCCCGACGTTGATCAATCTGATCGGCCGTCGTTTCGTTTCGGCCTCCTGAAAGGTCGGAGACCGAGTATTTTCGAACCGACAAAGGTACTGGTGGTATAATTAATAGTAATAAGAAAAGACATGAAAGAAAAAAAAAAAATACTTGTGGTTTTAAACAATGGCACCTGGGAGATTCGAGTGCAATAATAGTTTCTTCAGCCCTTCGATGGTTCTGATTCGGTCGGGGCTGTAAGAGACAAGCCTTCGTACGCGAACTCCCCTCCCCTTTCCACTCCTCTTCTCCAGTACGCCACGTGTCCTTCTTCCTCACATGCTTCTATTGCTGCTTTCTACTCCTCTCGACTCTGCTCACCTTGCCATCATTTACAGCGTACGGCTCCTGGCTAAGTTCACGATCGGATACAACATATATGTATAGAGAGAAACAATGTGAAGGTCAACGGTTGCCTTACACGAGCGTTGTTCCTGATGTAGTCATATCAAAATACGAGAGGACCGTCCTTCGGGACATCTGTTAAAATTGGAACGATACAGAGAATGAAGATTAGCATGGCCCCTGCGCAAGGATGACACGCATAAATCGAGAAATGGTCCAAATTTGAAAAAAAAAAAAAAAAAAAAAAAACCGAGAGGACCAGACCAGTAAAACCACACCCGTGATGAATAGAGAGGAGAAAAATGATTGATATTGCCAACTTTAAAAATCAAGCATCAGACAAATATTTTTTCTTTCGATGCTTGCTAGATTCTCAAAATCACGAAAAGAAGTTTACACAATCTTTTTTTTTTTTTTTTCCCCTTTAAAAAAGAGAGAATAGACATTGAAATAATTTAATTTAGAGAGGGTTGCTAACTCAATGGCAAAGAGCTAGTGTGAGCATGCCCTCAACTTCAACGGTAATGACGCTGAACAATATGCAATAAATAAATGAAGAGTCGATCTTAATTCGCAGTCATTTTGATCAGCTTAGTTCTTCATATCTTAGATATGCTATTCCTTCCTCCTTTTTCTTCTTCATAATCCTTTGTTCTTTCCTCTCTTCCTTACCTACTCCTAGTCTTTCTTAAATGTTTCTAGTCGCGATCACAGTCAAGAACGAAACGCCCCTGACGCCGATCACGCTCTAAATGCAGACAAAAAAAAATCGACAAGGAAGGAGAGAAGTGACAACTATTCTTCCCTCACTAATCGGTGCTTTTCGAGCGAAGTTTTCTTCCTTCCCCTTACTCGCCTCGTTCTCCCTGTTCGCTTGATTACGCAGGTGCTTCCGAGTTACTTATTTCGGTATTTCTCTTCCTCTGTAACATTTCAGGTTAAACTTTATGCTATTAACACGAGTCAACTATTTTTTTGTGAGAAAGACGCACCAGAAAACATTCAGTCAGATCAGAGCAACAACAGTCAGAGATGAAGGGAGTTCGAAAAGAATCAAGCTGGAGTCACGAGTGAGCCAGACGTAGACAGGGGGGGTCGAAAAAAGACGTGAAGGGAGAAAGAGAATCGGGGGCAATGGAAAATGGCAGGGGTCAATTTGCGGTCTACCTTCCTGCTCGCGTACAGTTGCCTCACCAATCAACCAATCAACCAATCTCGCAGTAGTACCCTGATCAGATCTCCTCGACAGATTTGTATCTCGGACCAGTCAGCACAGATCTCCTCGAGAGAATTGTATCTCGGACCAGTCAGCGCGGTAGCGATTGCTCACGCTCCTCTTGCGAAAAGCAGGAGACCGCCGACCGTACTATGGGAACCTCTCGACGTCCTTCGAGTACAAGGTCCTAAGACTCATGCTCAGATTGTTGGCGGGATACAAGAAGACTCCTGCTCAGATTGTTGGCGGGATAGAAGGTAGCTGCTGCATCCCCCCACAATTTGTCCTTCCCTTCCTTAGTATCTTTCAAGTGGCCGGTGCTGCCCTTTCGATCGCCAATACACTTCGTGCTCGCTTGCTTATCCAGGCAGGTTCTTTGCTTGCCTCCCTTCCCTACCGCTGAACTCTTTGTCCAACCCCTCCTTATTCTCCTCCTTCTCACCCACTCATGTGCGTGCCTGATCGTACTCTTTTCCCCACCTTCCAATAAGTCACCTCCCTCAGAGTCTATACTCACACTTGCTTGCTTGCTAGTCGCTCGCTTCCGCCCGCTAGCACGCCCAGCAACTTGCACGCTTTCTCTCCATCACCCGCCTGACTTCGAAGTATGCTCCTGGCTCGTGAATTCGTTTGGCCGTCCTCGATTCGCCGCCTATTCCCTCGAGTTTCTCCCGGTCGCGATTCCTCGCGTCCTCGTGAGCTCCTGTTCTCCCTTACGGTGCTCATGCGTTCTTTACTCCGAGAGAGATGGCGGCCTCTTTTCCCTCCTTCGTCCACTATCTCACTGCACGACCTTGCTCGTCTTTTCACTCTACATAGTCCTACTCGTTTTCTCTTCCGTGATCCCACATCTCTACTATCCCGTACACCCGTGCTTCTCTTTCCGTTCTTGCGCGGCAACTTCTCGCTCCCCACATTTGTGTGTAGCTCACGTTGCTTTGCCGTCGTCTTTCTCGCACCCCCGCTCCCTTCTTCATTTCTCTGCTCGTTTCGCTCTCGAGTTCCTTTTCCCGCAATGATTTTTTCATGGCTCTCTCTCTCACTTTTCCCTCTCGGTCTCTGCTTTGGTTGCCAACCCTCTCAACTCCCCTCGCAACCGTCTACTCCTCCCCATCTTCGTTTCCCCTTCCGTTCCCGCATCGTGTCTCTAGATCGGCTTGGACTGCCTGTCGCCACAGGCGGGGTTGATAGGGAGGCCAGATCCTACTGCATGGGGCTGAGCCAAGCATCGACGTCCAGATTCAGGTCCAATCTCCTTCACTAGTGGCATCTCAATTCCTCGATCTGTTTTTTTTT